ATCGAAATAAGGTTTCGATCACAAGAAGGAACATATTGGACATCAGTAACAGTAAGGAAAGAACCATTAGGCAACAAAAAGTTAAGGATTCCTTTCCCNACAATTTCAAACAGATTACCTGAGTGAAGACCAGTAATTGACCCAGAACTCACAGAAAAATCATGTAAAAGCTCCTTCTGCCACGTAACATGAGCCGCGCTAAAAAAATTGATGAGAAAGGATTAATTTTGAGAAAAATGCAAACTGGTTGCAAAAAAAATAAAATTAAACACTTCTTTGAGAGAACTAAATAACTGAAAAGATTAATTAACTAAGTCCACAGTATAAAAAGAGTCAATTTACGAGATAATCATTTATAATAATATTGATAATGATTTAAGTAAGAATTAAAAACTAATATTGAAATTCACGATTGGAAATATTGCTTCAAGACAGTTCGCCTTTAAAATACAGAATTCCACGGACTAGGTATTAGATAGTTGCCTCAAGGATAGTTTATTTTGTCATTCCTGAACTATCATAACCTTGAAATAACACCGTTTCACTTAAAAATCGTCATCTTCTTTATAATATTTATCTTGTTAAAATCTTGGGTAATAACTTTTGAATCCTTTCCGAAAACAAAATATGAATGGAATACCCTAAAGACTAACAAGGCTAGAGCAATGAATAAAGCATCTAACACAAATAAAAATACCTCATGTGTGATAATGTACCCGTTGAAACCGAACGATAGCTCCACAAGACGATATATGCATCTAATATATATACAGATTGTACCACACAATATTGCTAGTGGAAAATAAGTAAACAATTCTTTTGATCTCAATGAGTTGAATCTTTTATTGTAGAATGGTTCTAATTCAGTAAGTCTATAAGCTCTGGCTGATTTTGTGTTGAATAGGTTTGAGAAAAACAAACTGGCAGAAGATTTGAGATATCCTCCCATTGAGAATGCTTTGAATATATTTTAATCAAAAAATGAATAAAGAGAGATAAGAAAATGCTCATGGATACAACTTGAGAAGCAAGTCCAGCAATCATTACGTAGGTTCCTTCCCAGGTACCCTGATTGCCATCAGCCATACTGGCTAAAGCCCCACCAATAGCTTGAAGTACAATTGACAATACGTCACAACCAACAAAAAAATAAGAATACACCATTGGTTTAAAAAGTGCATATTCTTTTCCGTATACAACAATCAGTTAAGCAAGCTGATAATATATGCCACCCATAATGAATGCAGGGGCAATGGTCAAGGCAATAATTTGTAATAAGAAGTAATCTCTTACAGTAAGATCAATACAAGAAAGAATTCTTCCCACGAAACCGGCAAATTCCAAAGCAGAACCACAAAAGACTAATATTAAACCACCAAAAACGAGACCTAATCATCATATTAGCGTAGAAGATAAATAATGCTCCAAATAAGCCACAGTAGAAAGCATTAGGAGGGGTGCTTAGAATTTCGCCATACAGATTTAACAGCCATTCCAAAGCTTTCAAATCCGAAGTAGAATCATATACGATCTGGGTTGCCTGACTTTTAGCGAGGGTGTCCGTTACAGTAACCAATAAATTTTGTGCTTCGATAATATTCATTGTTGCGTTGGCTCCTACCAAATATCGACTCAAAGTCTTCATCTCCGTACCAGTAGACATGGCTGCCTCAACAGAAGCCAATGTTTTGGAAGCTCCTTCAAGGTTTCCTGGATCAATCGAGCTCATTACAAGTGTACGCATAGAGCTTATCATACTAGTAATCTCGGAAGTCATCTTAGTCTATGAATCTTATATTTAGTCAAAAATAATATCCCTATATCCTTTTATTATTCAGGACGGCATGGACCTCCTTTTATATATTTCTTTATCTTGCAACTTCGTCCTCGTTATATCCGACAATAATTTATTTGGAACTTTTCTTTAAATCCGCGGACATAACGAAATACCAAATATTGACTTGCAATTATCAAAGATGTTGCTAATTTAAGTATCTCATACTGATCTATAGAACGTTTCGCATATAGGCTATGGTATTGATATTTTACCAGAATACTTCTATTTCAAGAAGATCAAAGCAAAAATGAAAATAGATAACGATCAGGAAAATTTTAACCAATCTGTAGGATCATCAAGAAACGTACCAAAAGAAAATGCATCGAACATGTTGTTATCAGCCTCTAGAGGGAAAAAAGGGATGTGTATCAGGATGGCATTGAATCTCATTCAGGTCAGATACGTGAGAACTGAGATTCTCCAATAGTTCAGGGAACATTGTCTCATCATGTTTAAGCAAGCATAATTGAATCCATAGGTTCTCGATCTGGCAATTATTGAGAATTTCTAGTTCAGCCTCTTTATTTTGGTAAGTAGCCGGAGTCCAGTCACTGAGGTTTGTATCTTCAAGTTGGTTAGTCTGTATTTCGCATTCGATATGATGCCCGCAGGGTTTCGGAATCTAGAGCATCTTGCATAATTTCGTGAAGTATATTCAACTCTTCTGTTGTCAATTCCAATATTGCTTTCATTGAGGCATTTACATCATACTCGTAAATCTCGTTACCGTGCAATAGATTCTCCCCGTAAAGGTGTCACTGAGTATCCTCATCATTGCAATACGTCTTTTGCCATTTAAGTTAATATCTTTCGAAAGATTGGTGACTTGTTCAATGTAACTTGCAGTTGGGAATGTTGGGCGATTATCAGTAAATTTAAACTTAGGTTTGTACGGTTCATTTAACATATTGAACTTACATAAGCTGTTTAACCTGAAGCATAAAGACAGACCAATCAAGCATATAATGTGACAGTATACTTGGCAAATTGGTGTTAGAATGAGTGGAAATAACTCACCAAAGTATTCTTGGCCATCATATAATAAGTTTGAAGATATAGGTGCTAATTCATGGAAGCCAATTTTAATCATATTTTTCAAATAAAAAAATCTTAGTTTAGTATTCTTTCTTTGTTCATAATAAGCATGGAAACAAAAATACACAAATAATGAGAATAGCTTCATGTACACTGATTGCCTAAATTTTATAATTTTCAAACATCTAGGCACACCATCATCAGCTTTCAAATAATCATCTATTGTTCCTAATCGGTTAGTCAATAACACTTCTAGTTCACGTAAATTATATGATAAATAGTTCATTTTTACATTTGATTTAACATCAAGGATTATTGAGAGAAATTTCTTCACTTTTATCAAAATTGGACTCATATCTTTAAATGTTTGAGCCACCTGCAATTCTAAAGATTTGTCAATAAAATTCGAGTAATCATCGTCAAACAGAGGAGTATCAGTATCGTACATTGATTCGGCTGTCAAAATTTCTGTTCCATAAATTATCGAATCAAATACATCTGAAGTAGATAGAAAATGCCATATTTTTCTTTTTAAATTTTTGAACTTTTTTTCAGCCATTTCTTCACAATGATGGTCAGCTTCTCGATTCAATTCCAATGAGTATGCCATCAGTATGATAATCCCATGATTCATTTGAGAATTCGATCCAATAGTTCCAATTCCAATTTCTGGAGAATGGTCTCGGTAAATTTTCAAAAATATAATAGCCTGTAATACTCCTAAGCTTTGGGACCTGGTAAGATCAAATTCTTTGATACAAAGTTCAGCCACTGAAATCACATCTATATGAATTGGATTCAACAAAAGGAATTTGGTATCCTGCAGTTTACTACTGGGATCTTTATTATTTATGCTTTGCTCATTTCGGGATACAATATTGTCAAATAAAGACAAGTAGCTCAGTCTTAATACTATTAACATTGTAGCTAGGAAAGCAAAATCATCCTTTCTTCTTAAACCTATTGAAGACCCATGCCCCTCGAAGTCATAACTTATTAATGTTTCCATATCTGTTCTAAACGACATTTCATCTATAAGTGGAAAAAAGAAGTATAGTTTTTTAAAAAACCTGTCGATTAACAACTGGAGAGCAGATCGGTCAGGCAAAACCAATTTTATCTTACTTGTTAATTTGGTTTCTTGATCTATGTCCAGATCACAAAATGTGAGACCAAGTTTTAAACCATAGCTTGAAATTGCTTTCTTTATAGCCATCGTTTGATCCTTAGTTTGCATTCGATGTATCCACGGAATGAATCCAGATCCGAACACTTCTTGTAATCTTTTCTTAAAATCTATAGAGTTTATATCGTTTGGTGTAACAGAATTGTTCAAGAATAAATGTTTAAAGTCAAGACCCTTCCGCAGTATCGTGGTGTAACCCCAGAAAAGCTTCATTCCACGATCTCTTTTGCTCAATAATAAAAAAGGCAACGGTCGACAAGTTAAACCATTGTTTTCGTGATTTAAGTCTGGACTAAAATCTTGATAAAAGTTAATCGTTTCATGGTCTGAAGCGATAGGATTTGTTGACCCAGGCAATGAGTTATCAGAAGCGTAATCTTTCAGTCTGCATTCTACGATATTCCAATTCCTTCGTTTTAAAACAGGACTAGTTGCAAGTTCAACATTACCACATGGCTTTTCAGATTCCGAATCGGGCTTCTTCCGGCGTTTAGGATTATTTTCATAAACACAATTCTGTTCGATAGATAATCCAATACAGCTTGAACACGGACTTTCTTTGTTGCATTTTATCTTTCTTGTACGACAATTACTGCAAACTATGGTTTTTCGAAGCCTTTTCTTAGATACAGTACCGCTCATTATACCCGTTTACCATTAGCACAAGTGCGCCAATTGAATTTTATTGAAGATTAGTATATTACTTTCAATTGCAAGATAAATTCAAATTCGAAAATAAACACGAAGTTATTCTATTGCGAAATGAGCATGCAATAATCGATCTAAATTTTAGCCGCGAGATTCTTCCTTGCAACATATACAATACAAAAGTACATTGCTCTTTAAAATATCTCTATAAAATTTTACCTATGGCATAACAATCATACTAGGGTTTTAAACTATCGCAGAAATAGTAATCTCATTACCTCGTGATTTTCAGGATTCTTGCAGAGATAAGAATAGCATATTATCCCTAATTGAATATTTCCTCTTACATTAGCTCGTTACTTGTTCTTTTGAATTGATTTTCAATGAAAAATGTTGTAATTCTTGTATTCCAACAACAATATATAATTAATTATATTGCAAACTTGTCAGGGGTGCTCTCTTTGTTCTCAAGTTTTCTATTACTTGAGTCCACTCAATATACATAGTGATGAAGTAAAATAATCTCTTTCGAGAATTAGGATTATCCTTTGGTGGTATCTGCATCTAAACTATTTGCCGCAATAGTTCGTTGGCATTAATTTTACGTAATTAGGTCTTTTCTTTTCAATATCAACTGCAAACTTCCCTACTTGATGAGCTTGTGTAATGATCCTGAGAAAATGTAGTTTAGTTGCAAAATAAATTAGAGTATTCAAAATACTTCTTCAAGTTAATAATTACTCCTCTTGAAGTTTAAGATAATGAGTGTTAGTATATGCATTATGCCTTTAATAGACATAGATAAAACATACAAAAAACAGAGCTATTAACAAGCCAATTACATCAGAGCTCGCGAGAGACCTACCTCACACCTATTGCGACATTGCGATTTACACATTATAGGATATTAAGACGAACCTCAATATTGATCAATGTGGTTTATATGCGTTCTATAGAACCTATAGTAGATATCCATTTAAATCTACTTTAGGACAGTTGTGTTTGATTTTCACTTTATTTACATAGAAAAATTAAAAATGATAGATACAATAATGATAATAACCCATCGGTATATTTTCCACATTTACTTATATTACTACGGTAGCGGTTACACGATAAAGTGCTATAAATATAATAAAGCAGCCTAAAACTGCTCATTTTTATATAAATTTTCATGGCCTTAAAAACTTCTCCAATTTCCTTCAAGCTCATCAAACCTTCTTCTATTTAGTAATGCTCTTCTTTTATTACTACTAAAGTCATCCACTTCTCTTCTCATATTTTCCCTCTTTAATCTTCTAATGTTTCTTTCTCTTTCAATCTCTCTCTTTTCAATTTCCCATGGGGTCAATATCTCAACTATAGGTTCCCATTGATCGTTTCCGTTGTGCACACTGCTTTCCGTCGTGATTCTTATACCGCATTCAAATATTAGACCACTTTGTTGTTGATACTTATGTAATTCATGATTATAGCTTCCATCAGTTATTTCTTTCTTTAATCTAAGAATTATTTCGTGTAAGGAGTGGGATACAGCAGGCTTGAACTCTAACGACAAACCTAAATCTGCAACTACTATATCCGCAAATTGTTCAGGAGTTACTTCATTTTGTGCTAAATCCCATTCGAATCTATCTTGGTATAACTGTTTATTTAAACTTACAGATAAATCGATGATCACATGGTACTCAACATTAGGTGGAAGCTGCAACGATAAAGCAAAATTATAATCGTCGATTTGTTTAATTATTGATTCTGTGATTTCCAGTTGTAAGTGCGTAGGTAATTCGAGGTCATTGCATAATAAGATAGAGAATTGTTGTGGAGTGATTAATGTTTCATTTAAATTCCACATAAAGAAATCAACCAATTTTGAACTACCTCCATTATACTCCAAATTCAATCTTATTGGAATTAGAACGTCATTATTTTTATGGTTAGCATCGGTTAGTTTCAGATCATCATCCAATCCTAGTGGATAACGAGTATTTCGTGCTGGTTTTAAAAGATGTTTTTGATTATTTGAGGCTAATTGATTATTAATTACTGCCGCAGTGGTATTTGTAGCAGTTGGTACTTCATCAAATTCAAAGTCATCGTTGATATTGTCAAGCTCTGCATAGTTTATTTGCTGGGCGTTCCTTTTAGCTATTCTGCCTTGTGGAGCAGTATTCAATATTAATGCATTGTCAGGATCCTTGGAAATTCTGGAATGTAAACCAGTAGACAACGCCTGAGGATAGAACGATTTGCTATGAAACGATAAGGAAGACATGGATATATTTATTTTATTCGTTTTGATTGATCTCTGAGGTCTTGTTATTCTTCCACTTCATTTCTTCCACAAGAAAAGTAAACGGCGACACGACCAAAATTTTTTTGTTCTAGTCGCAAGTTCAGATAGTACGCGAAATATATACTGTTATGGTAACTAGATGGAGTTATTCATTTCATATACAAATATTCACATAATAACAAAACTATGGAATCATCTATAATCTTAGAGAACTTTATGTTATCAAGAGCATCATTGCATGAAGTGATTACGTTAGAACAATTTGAAAGACTATTTCCTAGAAGAGTCTTGAAAAGTACAATTCAAAGGATATACGAAGAATTGGTTGAACAACGTGAATCTGAGTCTATTGAGCCTGTAAAGAATAAAATTCAGGAGCAGTTCGACGTGCCATTACAAGAAACTATCGATAAGCTTAAAAATTCACAAACAATAACAGTAGGAAGACATTCTATTAATGATCTAGTTACCAGATTAGATAAACTAGAAAATATTTTTGTACTACAAAATACTCTAATCGATGATCAGATAGCAAATGTTATGAATGATATCAAGTTAATATGCAAAGAGTTTAATGATATAAAATATGGAAATGCATGGTTTAGGGGAAGTGACGAAACTGACATTGAGAAGGTAATGGAAGAAACTATACGAAGTGTTGATAAATGTGACAGCATTTTCAGATAAGATGTTGCATGATTAGTGGTTTTAAACAATGATAGAGACACTATTGGATCAAACGTTAGTGGCTGTTTCTATAGAAACCTTATCAGTAGAATTTACTATATTATCTAACCTCAGTAATTCTTCTTCTCCTATCCATTTCCAGATGTCGTATTTCCAATTGAGGCCGTCCCTATCACCCAATTGATAGTTGCTGGATAACCCCCCAGTTTCAGGCTGGTCTTTCATATATATGACTCTTCCTATTCGAGAATGCACTAGTGCCATGGAACACATAACGCATGGTTCATGTGTTGTATATACAAGCAAATTATGACACAAATAATTTAAATCATTTTTATTAGCATGATCTAGCGTTGTTCCATGTAAGTCGTATCTTCTAGTTTTCTCTTTCATTGCGATTTCGTCTATAGCCTCCATAACACTGTGTTCTAATGGATGGTTGTCTCTATTATCAAATTTTACAGTAAGTATTTCATGTTCTCCATTAATTTTCGATTCTTTCGCTATTATGGTCACCGCAGGAATTCTAGTGTCATTAACAGTCTGATGTTCTTCAAGAGCATCTAATAATTTATTGATCATAGCTCGTTCTCGAGAAATGCTGAAACTGGCAGCCATTAATGCCTGATGATTAGGATTACCTTTCCACGACATAGGCCAATAGTTAGAAGTCCATGCTTGAGAAATTTCTTTTGTCGTCGCAGGATATCGTGGGATTTGCTTTTGATAGAAGTTGAAAGATGTAATATCGAGATCTGAACCATGTTCTTTGAGTAGATTGATTATTTCCGTTTCATTCTGAAATAATTCCGAAGAACATAATATTGTTTTCAATACAGATATTGGTTTCTCTGAAAGTTTATTTTCTATCACTTTATTGAATCTTTTGACATGAACTAGAGGTAGTGTTTCATTTGGAGTTATAAATTCTCGTATGAAAGTAATTAAAGCCTTTGATTGAGTTGGGGATATATCACAGCACCAAACACTAGTTAAAATAGGTATTTTTGGATCAGTAGCATTTATAGGAGAGTATTTGACTTGCTTTAGGACGCCATGGATTATTCCATTCTCTAAATCCACATGTTCAGTTGAATTTTCTTTATTCTTTCCCATTTGTTTCGATGTTCTTTTAATAATTTTAACCAGTTTAGATACTTCTGCTATCAATGAGTTTATCTTGTTGAAATTCTTGAATACCATTTGTTGCAATGACTTCTTTCATTAGTCCCGGAGGTTATTTAATTTGGGTTTTGATTTTCTGAGATCGCAGTGAAATATTGTGAAATCAATAAATACTTTATTTAAGGCAGAAGAGCTTGGAATGCAGATTCTTGCGCTCAGGAAATGGAAAAAGGTCAATCTTTAATAGATTATTTAATATGTAAATACCCAGAATTGGATGCTAAATCACTTTTGAAACTGTCTGCTTTTGAAAAATCAGATGAATATTTGAGGCTTCTACATGAATCCATAATTGTTGAAGAGACCGTAGTTACGAATGAAGATTACAACTACCGATATCACTTGTTTGAGGCCAATTCTCATGTTGAATTAATTGACTCGGTTATTGCTCACTTAATAAGAGAAAACTCGCCGAACACGCTTGTTAATGGTTATCACGATCCATCTTCAAATTCAGTATGGGGATCCAAAATTTTTAATCCATACGTTAGTTTTCAAGTTAATTACTTGAAGAATGAGAGTTGGAACAGAGTTTTCAACCGAATTGGTAAGATTAGGTTTTTGAATTTAGTGTTGACTACTAAATGTTTTATTAAAATAAGCGATGTAAACTATATGCAATTGTTTGGTCTCTTGCCGAGTTTCAAATCGAAGATTTCTGAGCTGCTCCTGAAATCAAGAATGTTGTACAAGAACCAAAATAAGGTTACTAATTCCTTGAGGTTCTTTTCAGATGAACCACTTGATTTAATGGAAGATATCGTTCCATGGGAGACATTCAAATACAAAACGAACCTTTCTAAAAAGTTCCGACCATTGAAAAGGTTATGTATCCAGATTATACATAATGATTCAAAGTGTAACTATTCTTCAATTTATAAGGAAATATGCACAAATTTTCTGCTGAAGACAATAAAAACAAATTTTGACTGCGTAACCGAGATTTCTGTGGTAATAAGATTTGTTTTAATAGTTACTGGTAAAATATTTCCGTTAAATACCTGGGGTACTCCTAAAAATAAGTCACAAGTTATCAAAAAAATGGTTAGATTCATAAAAGCAGGTAAAAATGATAAATTCCCTAAGGACGAGCTCATATCCTCTATTCAATTGTCTCACATATACTGGCTTGGGAAAACATCAGAGATCACGTCGAAACAGGACTACAGATTACGTGTCCGCCTATTTTCAAGCTTCATGGAATGGTTTCTTTCGGTTTATATTTGTAAATTAGTGGGATCGTTTTGGTATGTTACAGAAGTATCGCATGGTATCTTAAGTAAAGATATATTACATTATCCCCATAATGAATGGAAACGAATAACTAATAAATGGTTGAATGACTATGTTAAAAACTATCTTGTTGAAACTACTGATACCGTGAAATCTACCGAAGCTAATGCATTTAAGAAATATAATATTGGACGGTTGAGGCTACTTCCAAAATCAACCGATTTTAGAGCATTATGTATTCCAATTAAGCAAATAATTGGTTCAGATAACTTGAATAAAAAGGAAAAAGAAACACAGAAATTCCAATATTTAAATTACATCAATAATAACATTAGACCAATCCGTGAATTACTTCTTCAAAAGGAAAGAGATAAATTAAAATTACACAAGAAGAGCCACCCAAGATGCTTTTCATTACGAGATATTGCACATAACATAGGTCTATTCAAGCATGATCTCATCAATAAATATACACATATTCCGAAACTATTTATGTTGAAATTTGATATGAAACACTGTTTTGACAACGTGAGCCAAGAGAAAATATTGAAGTCTGTTAAGGAGCTATTTGCTGAAGATAGCAGCGACAAGATATATTACATTAGACAGTTTGTTGAGTCCTCAGTTTTTAAGCAGGAGCTCAAAAAACAGCGTTATGTGATCAAAGATGAGTCTAATGTTCACGAATATAATATTTTGGAAGGGCAGAGTTCTAGCTTTCAATTTAATAGATCCCCAAAAATCATTGTGGACAAGGCCAAAACCTTTCGGTTTAAAAAATCGCAAGTCTTAGAAACCGTCAGAGAGCACGTACTCCACTCAACCATGGTTCTGCCAAATAATACTGAAAAATATTTCAGAAGAACAAAGGGAGTTTTTCAAGGTTTACCTCTTCTGGCAACACTTTGCAATTTGGTTTATAATTCCTTAGTAGACGAAAATTTTCAATTTTTATTGGATGATAATTCAGATTCGATCCTATTAAGGTTAGTAGACGATTTCCTAGTGGTTTCTACTGACAGAAGTCAATGCCAAAAAGTATATGATATAGTATTGGGACAAGAGTTCCAGTCGAGTGGGGCCTTTGTAAATACTAGCAAAACGTGTTGGGTCGAAACTACCATGGACTTGGAAGATAATATCAAGTTTGTGGGGTTAAAGATTAACCCATCCACATTAGAAATAATGCCGGATGTTGATTCTAATAGTTCATTTATATCACTTTCAAAGTATAAATCATTTAAGGCCGTATATTTATATTTACAATGGTGCTATAAAGTGAGGCTAGCAGACCATTTTATAAAATTGGAATTAGTATCTTTTAAAGCAGCACTAAAAAACATTGCAATTATATTGAATGCTATTATTGAATCATACTACGTTCATTTTAAGGAAATCTTAATGCGACTGGGTGAATTTGATGAACAATCTTTTCAAGAATTTCTATTGAGTTTGTTCCATATGACTTTAAGAAAGTACCATTTAGTGAATCCTAACAAATCTGGTATGGAAGAAATAAGTACTATGTTTAGAAAGGTCATAATTTCAAAACTTTCTAAAAACTCGGTATTTCAAAACACTAATTCGTGGCTTGAGAATTCGAAAATGCTTTAAATTATTCCGAAAGAGCTTTTTAAGTTTTCATTATCTCTGATCTGTCTCATTCTTTCTAATTCATCTATACCACCGGATTTCTTCAACTTACTATCATCAACGAAATCCCCCAATTCTTCTTGGAACTTATCGAGTCTCATCATTTCTCTTTCTTTCTCTCTTATTTTTTCTGCTTTGGTTATGGCTTGTAAACGTTTTTCATGATCTGGTTTTAAGGCGACTACCTCATTTAAAACTTCATCTTTTATGTTGTGAAAGCTTTCCCCTGGTTCGGGAATATATAGTTGCGATACAAATTTATTTCGTTTATAAGCATTTTGTTTGCTTTGTTCAAGAGAGCATTGCTCGATTAAATTATATGTTTCTTCAATCTTTTTAATATCATCTTCAAGGTCATGTGTCAAATCACTTTGTAAGTTGAAAAATTGTTGTTCTTCACAAACTTTGTCTAACTCGCTTTCCCAAATTTTCTTCCATTGCATCTTTTCCCTATCAATGTAATCAGTCATATCTTTCAAAGAATTTCTTGCCTTTTCTATTTCTTTGTACGTGTTCTTAAGCTGGTGTTCGCCAACTCTAACACCTCTTTGCGCAACATCTTTTCTTAAAGCCTCCATGATATCTTGTAAGTCATCAACCTTTGTCAATAAAGAATCTGAACCTTCAGATAATTTAGTATTACAAGAGTCCATATAGGCTCTGTTTGATGACTTTGAAACGTTAAGACCACTTTCTTGAAAATCCTTTACCCTTCTTAGCAAGTGAGTAACAGATTCTTTTATACCTGCTCTATTGGTATTTTGAGTCTGTCTTATAACTCTCAATTCTGTCTGAATGCTTTCCAATTCCTTGAAATCTTCCTTATTTATAGAGCTTGGATTAGATGAAAGTTGAGGTTCTTTGCTCACCACCGGCGAAGAAGAGTTCAATTCAATAGCTTTAATGGCATCTTTCATTTCAGCAAGTGT